AACTCAATCAACTAACCTACTAAACTTCTGCCTACAAATCACCGCTATATCATCTGAATTGGCCTTTTTATCACTTGAAGGATAATTGAATAATCAACTAACCTTCCGCCTACAAATCAGTGTTGTGAAACAAGCGATAATCAACTCAAGAATAGTGAGAATTTTGTGTGGCGGACTTTTTTTACCCGACGGATCCTGTGCGGCAGACTTCTTTTACCCGAAGGATCATAATCGACGTCGAGTTCTTCGATTGGTCACATCTCCAAATTATTTTAATGTTCAACATGGTTGTTTATTGAAAAACATTTTTAATAAAACATGGTCTTAAAGACTATTGAATTTATCTTCACAATTGAAAACTTCTATTAAATAGTTATAGATGATATTAAATATTATTGCAATATAATATTAGCAACAACACGAGAATAATATAATTTCTTTAAAATTATGAAAGAAAGAAATAATTCAAATATACTATTTGTGATAAAATAAGATTAGATGCAGACCAAAATTTTTTAAATGTTGTTTTAAATAGAGGAATCAAGAGAGACATAGTGCAAATGAAAAACAGGGAGAGAAAGCTAGAGGAGATGGGATAAAAAATCATAATTAGAAAATAAAAATATTTTTATCAAAATAATTTGTAAAAAAATCCTTAGAAACCATGTATATATTTCCATCACAACAATGACAACAGCTGTTGTTTTATTGCGATGATGTTATATATTTCATTGTGTTTCTATCACATATTTATATAATTATTTACATGATCATTTTCTTATGTACAACACACGTAATCCAACGAATAAATTATCAAAACACACTTAATATTTGAACTAGTTCACATTTTAGATGTATTTTGAAATCCTAGCACCTCTGTTTTATTTTTTTCAACGCATGATTTAGATGTCATTCCTCTTTTAAGTTGTGGTCCACTTGGGCAATTGAATTGTTTCTACTGTGCATTCAGGAATATAAAGAACTCTTTGGCTTTAGCATTCAGTACTCAGTAAACACTTGTTAACAGCATAGGAATTCTAATTTGGATGTTAAATCCAAAAGAGATCAAGGAGGCTTAAGATGCAGGCCTAAGATCTTGGTCGCCCATCTTCCCTCAGAGAGAGAGAGAGAGATATGATTCCATAAGAGGAAAGAAACAAATGTAAACTGTAGTTCAGAGGCAACCACTCTTTCCCTTCTACTTCACCATCACTCTTGGCCTAGTCCATCTATTTCGGCTCGACATGAATGTGCTCTGCTAGGCTATCATCTCCCACAAGACTTTCATGACTTCTGTTCATAAGACCTTCATTATCAAATGACATGTCACCTTTGTGTGAATCCACTACGAAATTGAACCTACCACATCACAAATCTATCACCACATCACGAATCTATCAGAAGAATCCCTCTCTTTTTTAATGTTATCAGAAGAATCTCTCTCTCTCTCTCTCACTGAATCACACGAACACTACCAATTTCATGCAGGCTTGAACTACCCGAATATTATAGACCGAAATTAGGAAAGTATCACACAATATAGCAACATCAGAAATCACTCTCTCTCTCTCTCTCCCTCTCTCTCTCCCTTTCTCTCTCTCTCTCACAATCATACAAGGCCCAGGAGCCATGGGAACCAAAACGAAAAGCAACAAAAAACCCATGGACCTTACACCCATTGCTTCTTTGTCGCCTCCATTCTCTCAAGTAAACTTGCAATTTCTGCTTCCATCCTCATCTTCATATTGTGGTAATCACAGTGGGAGCTCTCCAAGACTTTCAGTTCCTCCATCTTCTTTTTACGCTTGTCCTCTGCTTCATTCAAGCAAAGCTTTGCAAGCTTGGTAACATACTCTTCTTCGAGTTTCGCACTCTTTGCTCGAGCGATTCTCTTGAGCCCCTCTGCCTCCTTTTGGGCATCATCAGCTCGGCTCTGAAACATTATTGCCTCTGCTTCTTTCATCTTCACAAGACCCTCCAAACTATCAAACCCGACTTTCTTTTCTGACAAACTACGCTGAAACCCTACTTCTTCACCAGTAACTCTCTCATGGCTATTAGAATTCCTATGAATGTCCCCTTTGATGCTAGAAGAGTTGGCTCTATAAATAGGGTCTTGAGTATGGACAGGAGGTTGACCAGAGACATCTCTTTGCACAACTGCCAACTCTTTAGAAGAGCAATTTGATCCAGAAATATCTGAAGCACCAGCTGTATACAAGATGTAAGAAGAGTCAAAATTCTATGGAGCAAATATGACAATTTTCAGCATAAAAGGATCATCAGCATTGAGTAGTAAGCCGGCAATGCATGAGAAGAACACAAAACTATAGATTTATTTCACATATATGTTGTATGCTATACATGGGTAAAGAAATGCTAAAAGCAGGCACATATAAATCTAGTATTTCAATAATGATAAACAGATAACTATGTGAATGACCTTGTAGTTAGGATTCCCAGAAAAGCAGCAGATAAAATCATCATAAATTTTTTTTTTTAAAAAATGATTTTTTTATCAACATAGAGAAGTGGGATAGATACCAAAAATTCCAGTATGTCATATATCCATATGGCCATGGGATAACAATAGACAAGCAGTTGGAGGATTTCGATGCAATATTTAAATCAGCATTCAAATAAACAATAGGTAATCTACAGTATCAACACAGAAAGTAGCATAATCTCCTAACTGACCATGGTAATCTTCAAGGGAAAACATGAGCCTCTATTTGTAAACTGATTCCATGATGTCTAGTTTTTACTAGTCTCGTCAAGCCATCCTAATCTCAGAATGAATTCATTTCTTCTTCTAAACATCATTAGCTATAAATTGATTAAGATTACATACCAAGAGAAAAAGCAGAAACAAAAATATTAATCACCAATCATAACAAACTAAGCATCCTAATATCTGGATGATTTTCATCACTTGGGAACTCTTACGGAGAAAGTGCCCCCCACAGCTATAGGTGTTACATTTTAAACCCTTTGGAATATCTCCAACTTATCCAGAACTAAACTTGTTGGACATCAGTATGACAATCTTTAACATTGGAATCAAGTGGGGAGATGTTCAACTCATATTCTCAAACTCAATATGGACAAATCACAGTTCTAAAGTTCTTGAATCTTTATCCCTTCCAAAAGAAATAGACCAGGAATTCATCAAGTGACGAAAAATAGAGTGCACATGGCTGTCAGTGCACTAGAACAAAATAGTCCCTTGGTAGAGAAAAGTAGAAAAATATACAACTAGGCAACAAAAGTCAAGAGAACCGCCTAAAAATGATAAAAATGGATGCTAGGTGATGTTTGGTGATTGCAGCCAAAACATAATTGAGAACAGAATATCTAACAGAGAAAAGAAGAGTAGCAAAGAGGTACCATGTGAGGCTCTGAGTATGGCTTGGAAGAAAAAGGATGCCAAGTAGAAAGGGTCTATGAATACGCAAAAATAAGTAACCTAACAAGAGGATGAGTAGCCTAAATTTATGCATTTTTTCCATCTAGCCTTCCAAAAAAACCCAAAATAAGAAAAAATAAATGGACCCAACCTTTTTTAGGGAAAATATGCCCACAACAAGGTTGTAAAAAAACAACCGGGAAATGACCTGCAGGTTTCTTTGACAAAACAAATAGGAAATGACATGCAGGTTCCTCAAGTCAGAGGGATGATCTGGTTAGGGCTGAGAATGGGTCAGATCAGATCCAGATCCACTAGGATATATTTTCGGATACGGATCCAAAAAAATTATTTTATATCTATAAAATAATATAACAAAAAATCCTAAATAACATATATATAATACATACATATACATGTATATATATAAAATAAGATATAATATATTAATAACTAGATCGGATCCAGATCAGATCCACCAATACCGGATCCAATCCAAATTGCTATTCGATCCAAATTTTGGATCCCGATCCAACCCGTCGGATCCAAATCTTGGATCCATATCCAGATCTGGATGGGATCCAAATCGGGTAAATTCTCAACCCTTTCTGGTAATTAAAATATTTTTCTACGAGAATGTGCCTTTTATAGGCCCAAGGACAACAATGGAATGTGAATGATGGGCAGAAAAAAGCCAACTCCTCTTAACATTGATCTCCTTCACATGTACAACATGCACATCACAACGATGGGAACAATAAGTAGAAAATGAGGAGTGATGTACACAAAAGAAAAGACATTTAGAACATAGTAGATGAGGCCATTAATTGGATAGAGTCTGAGTGAAGCAACAATGTTCTCCAACTAATATGTGCCAAACTTCATCATAAATATGGTAACCGAAACATAAATGGCTATAATTCAAATATCGATTCTCAACATGAACAGATAAAGTTACCTAACCAGACTTCAATGTGAACATGATTCTCAAAACTCAACACAAAGGGCTACATATTAAGTTGTATCCTAACAGGAACAAATCAAGTTACATAAATCTAAAAATTGAGCATATGCATTTGCTCTCTCATAGATACTAATTGGCATTTAAAACAAAATCACATTGTCCAGATATGGAACAAAAAGAGAACTAAGAGAAAAAAGAACAAGAATTCTTCAAAAAGGAAACTGGAAATCTCAATAGAAGGAAGAGCAAGGTGTGCTAGTAGATGAAGATGGGGGATGGAGACCATCTTAAGGTCTTGTTCAGGAGCTCATTGGCACGACCAACTCAGTTGGAGGCTGGATCCTAGACCACTAGGCCTTAAAGGAGATCGGAACACTCCATTTTATCATGTCTTCTCAAATTCTAATAGAAGCAATGAAGCGGTTATCTAAGTTGCTGTAAATCAGGTGACCTTTTGTCGATGTAATGAGATAAATGATGAAATAGTTGACTTTCTAACAAAGCGAAGGTGTAAGACCCCCTTTGGAGCAATATAATCTCAAAATAATAAATGTACAAGTGCTTTATGGATCTAGATAAACATCATTAGGGAAGAAGTAAGAAAAATTTTCTTTGATGTTATGGTCGAGTTCCTGGGTATGTACCTTCAAAATTTTAGAAAGTTCATTAAGAGGGATTTTACGAAGTGTTTCAGGAATTCCATAATGGAAGTTGGATGGCTGAATGTTCTGATGTTACTTTTATCACCACGTACCTCAGAGGTGGGGAATTCAAATAAAAAGAATAGATTCTGGATTGGTAAGATGTTTCATTCCTCTATAAGATCATCACTCTCAAGGAGACTCAAAGAGTTCATGTTGTTATTCATTCAGCTCAAGGACGATTAGTGCAAGCTGGGCACATTCTTGAGGGCTCCTGGCCTGCTCATGAGCTCAATCCAAAAGATAGATGCCAAAGGAATATGGCTACATTGATTAGGAACTCGTGCTATTTCTGCATAAGGAGAAAGATTTTAGGGGATCATGGATCTTATGGACGCAAGCTGAATTTCTATAACATCTTCCCGTCGTGACTAATGGAAACGTGACACCCAGGTATTAGGCAAGGACATCTCTTGGCTCCATGTCAAGGTGCTACTATGGAGAATGTTGTCTGACACTGTAGAAAGTTTCTTTTCAAAGATGAATCAAGCCCCTCCCCTTTTGTCATGTCTAAAACTGAGCAAAATCATACATATAGGGAGAAGATTCAGTTGAACAGCTACCATTTAAAATTCATGTTTAAATGCTTTGGGCAAGGCTATGGAGAAACAATAAATTTGGAATGATCCAAACTGATGGGCATTGATGCCCATACATTGAGAGCCAAGACTCTGGGTGAAGTGTGCATAAGGTGGTCTTATTATCATCATATTTACGATTTACACTCTGTGAGCGTGCCCCTTAAACTCCACGGAGTCCAATAACAGTCGAGCATCATGCTTCTAAAATACAATTTGGCAAGTAACTAGATCTATTACATGTTGCTATATAAGGTCACTAAAGACAGTTGGCAAACCAGATTAAGAAACTAAAAGGATTCCCTAGAATGGTGAGGAATTAAGAAAGAGTTTCCATGGATGTTAGATAAACTTAGACCTAGGGTGGAATGGGCATCCATGGCACATTGAAATGAATAAAATGCATAATGCATTAAAAAGTGATGCCATCTCCATGTCCTTGCACAGGGTACAATAATGTTTCAAATGCTCCCAAACACAGGTCATCATAATCATCCAAGCCTTATCCCAACTATATGGGGTGGGCTACATGGATCTTGTTATGCCATTCTACTACATCAAGGGTCATCCCTCAGTCAGATCCAGGATTCATCAAAAGATGTGGCAAAGGTTTATGTTGGCTGCCCCACTAATACAACCCTCCCCCTTTATCAAGGCTTGGGACCGGTATGACTGGCTTGGGACCAGCCATGGCGGAGTCTCTCCCAAGCACATGTAAACCATCTAAAAGAAGATCCTTTCCAACCTAGAACATCATAGGTGCTCATGTCTTGTGATAAATTAGTAATTTAGCATGAGAAGATACGAGGATATGGTTGTAACCATATCAAGTAAGCCATGAAGTAATGTAGTTTCACTACAAGTTAAATGGAGATAGAAACTAGAAACTAAAGGAAGACTGAAAATTTTCATGCCAAACAAATACTAATCCAGCTACTACATGGTAATTTCAAGATATCTGCAACTAGGATCACCTGGATTTTCTAATATAACAGAACCAATAAAATATTAGAAAATAAAAAGCATTAGCAGAAGTTAAATTGGGTGACATTGAATGAGGAAGTCGATCTTATGCTTCAGTTGTGCAGAAGTTGACATTTTTATAGATAGATAAGCATGGAGAACAAAAATGAAGTCACATCTCAAGGTGCAGGAAATTAAATAACAAGAAGAAAAAGAAAAAGCAATAAAACAAACAACAGTCACCTAAAAAAATTATAGTGAAAGATAAGTAAAATTAACTAAATTTCCCAGCAATGTAATCTAAGGCAAGGTCTTCAAAGCAAAGCAATGTAAATTTTGCACTGTATCATAACCTAGCATCATTTTTGCCGAAATATGATAATTACAATCAGAAAAATTCTGTATACTACTTCAGTTTACGCATGTCTTTATATCTTTCCAATGGTAATTTTAAATTTTAAATGCTTCTCCTAGATAGTTCCTTTATTCTACACCAAAGAAACTTCCACCCATATTTCCTTTTAGAAGCAGATGTAAATACAATCTATACTTCTTAGCTCAAGAAGGAAAATCTAATGCGCCCAAATACTTTAAATGAATGCAGCTGTAATAGTTTTCAGAAAATGTACAAAATATCCTGAGCCTTCTACACATGGCATGAAAGATTTGATATCTCTTCTCATAACATTGATTTACTTTTTCTGATTTATTATTTCTTATGCATTTTATTATTGTAAATTTGGGACCCTGTATTTGCTCAATGCTCATGGCATCAGTTGACATCACAAATCATAAGAGAAACAAATTCCAAGCCTTGAGAAAAACTAACCCTTCAGAAATTGTAGAATGGTATTGCAGGCATCAGAGGGAGAGAGAAGTTTCTTGTTCATCTTCATCAGCAACTCCTCAGCCCTATTATGCAACTCCTTACCCTTGCGATCTTCACTATAACGGAAGATCCTTCTCACATAGTCAAGCTCCTTAACCAGAATTTCAAAACTCCACCGCCTTGCAAAACACAAGAACACCTCCTTAACAAAACCAAACATTTCAGAAGTATGGCCACACCCAAGGCAATAGAATTGCATCTCAGTAGTCCCTGAACTCTCCTTCAAACTTGGGCCTGGCTTTATATATTGCATTTGGATTCCACAGTCAGCATGGCACCAGTGTGAGCACACATCGCAACCAACCCAACTACAAGTATTCGATGCACAATCAAACTTCAGACAGATTTGACACATGCAAGCACTGCAAAACCCCTTATTGGCACAGATCTTGCAGTCACAATCTTCTACAGGTAATACACTCGAGCAAGTCGGGTTTTTACACCTCGAGAGCAAGAAGATCTCCACCAGCTTAGAAGTAGGAAACGGATTCTTCCAAAATAAATAGTCTGAAATGCCTGTTTTTAAGGTGACCAAGATGTCCAATTGGGTCTTGTGAGATCTAGAGAGGGTCTCAGACGTTAAGTCTGATCTTCTCTCAAGTCTTCTTTGGAGACTGGCTAGCTCCTCCCTTCTCTCAGGGCTTGCCATGAGGTTCTTGAGATATAGTCTCGTGGCTTCAAGCAAGTCCTCAGGAAGCACATGACTTGCATGAGCCATGGTTGGTATTGAATCAGTAACTATATCATGTAAAATCCTCTCAGGTTTTGTGTACACACGAGAAGGTTGCCCTCCATCACTGCAATGTCTGTTTACATTAACGTAACCCCTCTTTTTATCCTCTGATCGAACTAAACTATTATCAGAAGATTGTGTCTCTCTCCTCTGTTTTGCCGGCAATTCTAGAGGGAAGAATGTTTTCTTCTCGAAACTGTTGCTTTTGTAAAGATCAATGGTCGAATCCTTGACCCCTTTTTCAGGCATTGCTGGGTAACTATGCCTCGAATAATTAATGATGGGATCACTTCTCTTGGGTCCAACTGGATCAAGTTCTGATTGAGCTCCAGAGGCAATAATCTGAGAGGACGAAACCTTCTCAGGATTCAAGTTTCCATTTGGAATGCTTCTCTGGTAAATGGGTACATCAGGAACAGCTCTAAATCTACTATGAACTGACCCATTCGTTCCTTCTCCGCCATACCACATTTGATCAGTTCTCCCATTCGAAACCTCATTCTCTCTCCTAGAAAGATGGTAACTACCAACTGAATATTCGTAATTCTCAGCGGAGTTTCTGGTCAGGGAACAACTGGGGTTGTGGCTAAATGGGTGCGAGTAAGAGTAAGAGAGAGAAGCAGTAAAATCATCAGAAGAAGTTCGGGTGTGATTATTAGAGAGAGTGAGAGATTGGTTACTAGCCGCTCTTTTCACAATATTAGGAGTGGAATTACTCTGTAGATTAGTAGAGGCAGCAGCCAAAGTTAGTGAGACATCAGGGAGACTAAGGGAGAGATTAAGGGTCTCCATCTTAGCTTTCTTCTCACCATTTGACAGCTCAAGCCCTTCTTTCTCACTCTCTCTCTTTAACCCCTTCTTAAAGGGTTCACCATTTTTGCAGGGGCTCGAGTCCTCTCTCTCCCTGTCGCTCCTAAGTTGCAGAAAATCTCTCTCTACCCATTTATCAGCACAATCATCTGAACCCTTTTCTTCAATTACAACTTCTTTTCCCTTGTATTTCCCCTTACCCAATCCAAAATGCATATCTTCCATTGAATTTTGATACAATTTACCCGAAATCCCTTTGTCAGGCAAACCCACCTTAATACTATCGCACATGTAACTCAAGGTCAGTTCTTGGGCGCCATGATTTCCCACTTTTTGCAAAGACCCATTATCCTTTGGCTTCAATTCATGAGAAATCCTAACGTTTTCTTTCAATTCACCAAAATCTGGCCGTTTCTCACCCAAAAAAAACCCATCACCCTCATGAAAAACTCTGTTTTTCCTTGATGGGTCATCAAGAACGTTTAGAGAGAGAAGATTTTCAGTGGGTTTATCCGAGATATCACGACCCATCAAGCTGCTTCTTAGAGAGAGATTGGGGCTTACCTGTAAAGAGGAAGAGATGTTTGACTCAGGTTGATGACGGCCACTTTTGTGATCCCTCTGTGAATCACCATCGCCTTCTTCTTCTTTCGCCTCCCTCCTCTCCGTTTCCGAAGGCATTCTCTCTCTCTGAGCTTTCTCTCTTTCTCCCTCTAAAAGTTTAAGCTTTCTCTCTTTCTCTCTCTAAAAGTTTGTTTCATGAAGCGGCCATGATATCATCATCATCAGATCATGGCCGTCCTCGCAAAATGCATTGTACAAATTGCAGAGTACCGGAGACCAACCATTTCATCGAGTTATATATTATTTTAAGGTGATATTTTGGACCTGTGTTTTCATATTATATCGGGAATGACCCTATGGTTTTTGCGCCCTCGCGGTTTGAGTTTGTGTCCGTTGTAAGTTTTACTAGGACGAAACTGCCCTTGGCAGATTTCCATGTTATAGGTGTTGTAGTGCTCCTTGTTATGAAGGAAATCTCTTTTTTATTATTATTTCTTCTGGGAAAAAATTCCTTTCTTAGCATGATTGAAATGAGGTTTTCCTTTGAAAAAATTATAATTTGTAAAATTCAGCTAATAGGAAATCTTACATGTGAATTATGATGCCATTTGGGTCTGTATTTTGTGTGACCATTGATGATTTACTAGTTTTTCTCAACTGAAAACTATTTTTTTGATAAACAATGAATTGAAATATGTGTTATTGTATATGGATTAGTTACTTTCCTTTTGTTTTCTGTTGCTTAGGTATATAGAGCAAAATGGATGTCCAATTCTGATATTAAACGACATTTGAATGCCCTTTTTTGGAAAAAAATTATATTTTATTTCATTTTCTAAAAAAATACAGTCGATATTTTCACAGAAGAAGACCCAAATGCATTGAACACACATTACGACATCTGCAATCCCAAAATAGTGCCCTTGCTCTTATCATTAGCTCATGCGCCAGTACTTTACAGCTACCGGCACCCTAAATATGGTGCTCATTTTAAACAGTGCTTATCTACAATGGCCATGCCTCGTGCCCGTTGCACCTCGTGCTCTTCACCTACTATTTTTAGTTTTTATGAATTACCATCATCGACAGGCTATAATAAATCAAGGTCTCATATATTTGGTGATTTCAACAACTCTCTAATAATAAAACTACCAGAGATTACTAATAGATAATACATAATTCTAGTAAACCCTAGAAGTCCTTGGAAATTAAATTACTGATGTTTTTTTGTTGAAATGGTTTACAAATAGAGGTCTAACTTTACTTGAAATCTTATTTATTTCAAATGGGATTATCATGACAATTTTTCATAATTCTCTAGTTCAAGTAGTTGTTTACTATTCCTTAAAAATATGTAAAATTTTACACTTTAATCTTCCTAAAGCTCACAATTCAATCTTAGAGGGTCTTCAAAGTAAGTCTTTTTTCTTTCAATGGTGAAAATGTGTTGAAGATGCGGTAGGAGAGGTCAAATTGGGGTAGTTTGGTCATGGTGAAATGTTGCAGTGTCATCTTGTCTTTTTTTTTTGTGGAAGGGCTTTCCTGCTATTTCATATAGACTGTGTAGGGGCATTTTGGGAAATTAGGTAGCTACATTAGGGGACGAAAACCCAATGGACGCAGAGTCAACGACGCATTTTCCTCACGCGCAGCGCCGACCGCCACCGTTTTCACCCTTTGTTTTTGTTTCATATAACGCCTTTTTTTTGTTTACTTACAAACAAACAGCCAAAATGACCACGTACTGCCCCTAATATTTCAAGAATGCACCCCCAAAGGAGATTTGAGGATAGTGAACTTTGAGTTGTTGGTAGGTAAACAAAAGTAAAGGAAAAAGCTTAAATAAGGTTGCCAGGAAAGAAGTTGCACATCAAATTGAAAAAGAAAAAAGTTTATACAGAGTTGAGGCTCTAAACAATCAAATTAGAGTGTATCTCATAAATTTCATTAAAAGAGGTTGTTTTGATACTCAAATATCTTTAAATTGATCTTTTCGATATCAAGATGCATGGATATAAGAAAAAAATGGATTTTAAGCATGAGAAATAGTGTATCTTGTAATTCATTTGTGGACTATGAATTTTCAAGATTTTTAAGTTTTCATAGATCTGCTTGATCTACACGTGTGAAAATTGGTAATTAGAGATAAAAGTATTTCTTAAAGCTATCGCAAAGATTTTCAGTAATGAAACTACATTTCTCGATACTATTTGAAAGTGCACTTTAATATAATTGTTTAGAGCCTCGCTCTATACAAACTGCACCCAATTGAAAAAAATTGTTTTAATGTTGAAAAACTATCTAATCAATCATCTCGAGGTCGAGATGGATGGATATTAGAGGCAATGGACCCAAAACCGACTTGGGCCCTGAGTGATAGATCCGCTCTGGGACCAGGTATGGGTCCAAAAATTGTTGGATCCAAACACTATTCTTTAAGCTTGAAATTTGATAATTAGAGATGAAAATATATTTTAAAGCTATTGCAAAGATTTTCAGTATTGAAACTATATTTCTCGACACTATTTGAAGGTGCACTTTAATATAATTGTTTAGAGCCTCGGCTCTATACAAATTGCACCCAATTGAAAAAAGTTGTTTTGATGTTGAAAAACTATCTAATCAATCATCTCTGAGGTCGAGATGGATGGATATTAAAGGGCAATTGGACCAGACCCCATCTGGGACCTGAGTGATAGACCCGATCTGGGTACAGGCATGGGTCCAAAAATTGGACCCAGTAGGTAAGGTCCAGGTCCAAATTTTGGACCTGAACACTATTCAGATCTGGGTTCGGTAATATTTTTCGGGTTCTAATATATTAAATATAGTTAAATACATAGATATTTAATTTTTGGGTCGGGTCTGGATTCATGTCCCACACTATATTCCAACCAGACCTAGATCCAAAATGGATATGTAAAAAAAAAAGATTTTAAGTGCCAATAATACATCTTGCAACACATTATCTAGATTGTCCATTTTAAAGATTTTTATGCGTTTGAATTGTTTTTGAAGTTCTTTATAATTTAAAAATAAAAAAAATGTACACAAAAATTTAATCTTATGACAAGAAGATGCGCCTTATTTTAATTATTTAGGGCCGCAACCTCATACAAACAGCACCCAAAAGTAATTGGATTAGTAGAGCGATGATAGATGAAGAAGTATTTTTTTGACCATGTATTAGGGGTTGCTCGGATCTTGGCACAATTGTGTGATTGCACAGAATTGTATTGAGTTTTGATGCACAAGCCGCATGATTAGATACTTATGAAAATTTATCATGAAAAAATATAATTGATGAAATTGTATATAACTTTGGTGCATATTTATATGACTAGATATTTGCAAAAAATCAAAGATTTGGGTTCGAAATGAACTTCAAATTGTAGGACCCCCTAAGCCTTAGTTTTCAATCATTAGAGCCTTGAGGTGCCATAACATGACATCTAGACTACCACTCCTACCAATTTGGCAAGATAACATTACATATAAAAAAGAAATTTATCAGAGTAGCTATGGGATATGAACTATTTAATATTTCGCCCATACATTTTGATTTAATTTCAAAATACATATCAAAAGACACAGGGCATGAGTTGGACTATTTGCAAATGTATAAAATGTTTAACAATAATACACCTACACCTCTTATAGGTAGTTTGATAAATATCCTTAAAAAATATATTTTAGAAAGAAGGGAGAGTTGAAAAATAGAGAAATTTATTATAAAACTTATTTTATTTTTAAACTTGAAAATTTATCTCATATATTTCATATTCTATGCTCAAGTCTCACTTTTTTAGAGTATACGACGTATTTTAATTTTATTGTTTTACTGTCCATCGGATTAAGTTCAAATTTATAGATTGCATACTTTTTATATCACGCACTTGTAAAAGATCCAAAAAAGAAACTTGAGCAAAATAAAATTATCAAAATTCTAGAATCTTGTAAGGCATTTTTGTCACTTATTATTATTAAATTAATTTTTATATTTTCTACCGGTGCATAATTATTATAAGTATGAACACCCCATAATAGTATATAGATGAACAAATTAGAAATCCAAAACATACGAGTTGAGTATAAATTATAAAATATGAAATACAAGAGTCCATTCAAGATTTGAAAAAATACAAAAATATTTTCCTCCAAATTTTACTAAAAATAAAATAAAAAATGTAGATTCCATTTGACTAATTATTATTTTTCTTAGGTTTTGGAGCTTACCGCAAAAACCATACAAACAGTGGCATGCTTTAAGTGTGAAACGAATCCAAAGCATTTTTAAACTCGGTTTCCCACCAATCAAACAAAACCTAAACAATCCCGTTTTCCTTTCAGGAAACGTCAGCCCAAGGCTATGTGTTTGTAATTTTAACCAAATTGAGAGGCATTTGTTCAACAGAAGCCCAACCATTTGTATTTTAGGAGAAGCGAATCCTGTGCTCCAAAAAAAAGGCGCTTTTTATGCGTTCAAGAAACGATAATTTAGCAACGGATAGGGGCATGGGTCCCACGTTTTCTCTCTCTAAAACACCTCTCTCTCCCTAAAACCTCCTCTTTCTCTCTCTAAAACCTCTCTTCTCTCTCTCTAACATGTTACTATTTGTGAAAAAAAACAAGGCCCCAAAAACACACACATCACATCATCAGCTTTTCTCTCACTTCCTCACTCTCGCTGTCCTCTTTTCTTGACTCTTTCTCTCTCTTCCTTTGACTAGTTTCCCTAAAATTTTCCCACGTTTTATTATCAAAAATCTCAGTTTCCTTTTCAATTAGAGAATCATTTGCTTATTTGCTTTATTTTTGGATGTAAGTATATACCCTGGATTGTTATCTGAATTTTCAAGAATGCCTTCTATTTTTGTGTTTTATTTGTTAAAAGGGCAATATATATATATATATATATATGCTGTTAAGCGCTTTAAAAAAGCAAGGTATGAACAATCATTTTTCCCAAAATCATGGTTCTCTTTTATGTGCATAATGAAATTGTTGGGTCCATCAGTCTTCTTAAATTCCCCTTTTATCAGTGTACTGTCCATGTTAGCAAGAGAATCTGATGCTCATTGAAATTTTAGAGAGAGATAGAGAGAGAGATTTAGGTTAGCATGTCAATTCTTTTCCCTACAAAAAAAAATGTAATGGAATATGGAGACCAAAACCCGCATCCAAGGCAAAGACTTGGAAATTTGTTCAGTCATCAAGTTTTCTTAGCCGTGATCGACGACCGCGGCGAGCCAAC